TCTTAACCAGCAGCTTTTAGCTACGCTGTAAACCTCACCTTATTATTCCATACCTGCCCAAACAGTTATGCTGCTTTGACGGCTTGAAGGGAAGTTTGTAGCTGTTTTCTAAGGCATTATTTAACAGGACTTAACCTAAAATCCTGAAAGCCTAGGGGCATGGTAAAAGGAAACGGAAATGAAAATAGCAGCTCAGGACCTTCAATATGTTTTCCTCTTCAATTCGTAAAGAAGCTGTTAGTGTAATACTGACTCCTGGCTGGGGACTTGATTATTCTGTTACACTTGTGGAAGAACAAATTCTGTCATAAAAAAAAGGAATTTTCCCATTAAGTAGGTTATAGTAACCTCAGAAGCACTCTCTCGCATCCCATGAGATCAGAGCTTTGCACAGGAAATCTTCCCTACATCACATCTATTATTTCTTGACAGACTCCTCTGACTAATTACAACCATTCTTAAAAATAAGGAATACGAAAATAGTGAGGGGTAATCATGTGTCCATAATCTTCAGATTGTTGCCTACTAAAAGACCCTTCAAGGCCATCTTTAGTTTCGACAGCATCAGAAAAAGATCATTTTCAAGTGTAAAGGTGACAGCATCTTATCCTGGAGAGGGACTGCTAAGCAAAAAAACTTGTGTGTAATTTTAGTAGATACAGCAATTATCACTACATAATTCCCTGGAGAACTTCTCAACATAGACATGTCATAAATGGCGCTATGAATCCAAAAATACAGAAGGTCATTGGCTTTTTGTCCTACAAAAGCAATATGTACTGCCAGGACAACCCACCAGCTTCCCAAACCACCCATTCCTGTACTCTCACCTGGGTACACACTGCAGGAAAATTCCAAGTCCGCTTTTGACTTATAAGCAATTCCCTGTCTCTCCTGCTTAGTAATGCCTCTGAATAGGAACAGACTAGGGCTTTTATTATCAGGCAGCCCTTTGAGTGCTTGTGCATTGCCAGGATTTGACAAAACCTGGGAAAAATAGAAGCAGCAGCTCCACTATGGTACCCTCGATAGGGTTTAAGTGCCAGACTTTTGCTTAGGCTCATCTTTCACAGCTTCAAAGGAAATTGTGATTCTTTCTGGACCCCAGCTGTGTGTCTAAGAAGATATTTTTTGAGCAATAATACTTACCAGAAGTATGTTAACTTCTCAAGGACATACTAGCTCTGATAGCTGTCAAGCAATGATCCCAACAATCCCTCCACTTGGGAGGAGATTTTTACAGAAATTTGCACCTCCTTTTTCATAGTCATAAGGAGAAGTCAGAAGTTAGATTCTTTTGCCAAGAGGAATAGATTTTAACTTGCAGCCATGGAAAATGCAAAATGTATTTGGATGTTATAATTCCCCCTGCAGATCTGATATGGAAGACATTAGAAAATGTCAGACATCCGTAGCTACTTCCTCTCAGGGCTATGAACATAGCTTATAAACACTGATTAGTTAAGAAGGTATTTTGCAGGCAGACAGGTAGCTGGGAGCCAAAGATTACGATTTCAGCTCAGTTGTTCATAGGATATATGTGTATGTATGTAAAAGAAAAGGAGAATATTACTTGTCTCATAAGTGAAAGATTAGATTTCTATTTCCCCATGCATTTTTAATATGCTTACAGAGTTTCACGAAACAGAACGCCCTGGGCAGAGCTGGGGGCGTAGGGAAGTTGTCTGTGTTTGGGTCATGGCCTGGGTTACAGCCAAGGCCTGATCCCACTGGGTGGGTGATAGAAAGATTGTGCAGCCCTGTTACCACTCTCCCGTGCATCGTACTGCTGGCAGGGACTAGAGCCCTCTTGGCCCTTTGCACAGATAATCGTTTCCTGATGAAGGTGACCTGACCATCTCAGAGGTAGGTTGCCAGGGCAGGGGGATTGCCTCATCAGAAATAACACGTGGTCAATTTTTTTTGCATCCCCCCTGCCAAGTACGCAGCAGTGCTGCGTGGTTATCGGAGGCATGCTGCATGGGGTGGGCTGGGGCACACCGCACAGCTCTCCGAGCATCCTTTTGAAAGGGATGCTGCGAAAGAGCAACCAACTGCTGTGGGCAGGGAGTGCTGTGGGACAGTGTGCTGTCAGTAGTGCTGTCAGGGCTGTGGGATGCTCCTCTGGCTTGCAGGATCCCTCACCTGAATATGGAATCTGGGACTGCAGTTCCAGGAAACGCATATCAGAAGCGTCTTTGAGAGCTTCAGGCAAAATCCCTGATGGTCTGACTCTGCGCTCCAATTTCAACAGAGCTCCTTTGGTTTTAGCATTACTGATCCTTTAGCAGAGCTACTACATAACAGAGTATAAATCAAGTCTCTGGGGTCAAAGGTGGTCATCTCTGGCATTTGTGAAAGGTGTTGATGGCCAGCAGGGTTGGGACAAAAGTAGGATCTCTTGAAGAGCCCTCCTGAAGTCTCTGACTCATCTCTGAGGTGCAGCAGAGGCTGCTCATTACAGACTACATTTTGTAGTGAAAAGTCTGTTGTATCAATTTTATGCCAAATCAAGGGTTTGCTTTATTCATGCTGTAACTCCACTGAGTTCAGTCAAGCTATATGAGTCAGGGATTTAGCTCTTAACTTTCTCCATAGAAAATACTACTTTTTCCTTTGATGCTGCTTCAGTGAACCTCTAAATCTATGATCATGCATCCTGCTCCAGCAAAGCATGTAAGCACACACACGTGGGAAGCATGCGAGAAATCTTTGCGAGAGGAACTGGACTACTTCCATATTTAAACCATCTTGTCAGCCTCTTTCACCTGACATCCTTGCTCATATTATTCAG